TCTTGTTTACTTAGTCTGTTCTACTCACCTAACTTTTTTCATTTTAAAATGTTTTCTTTTTTATTATGAACATCAACAGGAGAAATCTGAGTTCAGGTTTTAGGGATTCTGCTTGGAAGTGTTATAGGGTCATTTATAAAACTAAACTGTAATCCAAGAGGTATCTTAATCTTCCACCCCAGAACTGAATTATCCTAGCACACAGAGGTGGTGAAATAATACCTAGCTGATCAGGGCTGCCAAGACCAAGAAGATCACTCCTTCAATGGATCAGGGAGGCAGAAGAGGCTCATTGTTATGTTCAGTCAATGTGGCAGCATCCTTCCCTTTCAATCTGCTCCCCCTTACAGCTCCCAGCCCCCCAATCCTCTGGAGAGCTCAAAATTTCCCCAAGCTTCCCCACACCAACTCTTCTCCCCCTTCCTCCAACATCCCCAAGCAGCTCCTTTCTTCCATGGCTATTCAGCCCCTTCTTCCATCTAAAAAAAACTAAACTTCCCATCATCCCCCCTTCTGAGATGAAGCTAGTTCTGTCAATATGACATTAAAACAACCAATATGTATAATAGTGATTTCAGGTCTGCAAAGTGCTATATTATCTCATTAGACATCTATTATCTATGTTACCTATATCTGCTCTCATTCAATCTTCACAACAGCCCTGGGAGGCAGGTACTAAATGATCCCCATTTTACAGATGAGGGAAAATGAAACTGAGAAGGCTTAAGCGACTTGCCTGGGGTCTGACGTATGGCTAGGAAGCATTTGAGGCAGGATTAGGACTCAGATCTCCCTAACTTCAGGTCCAACACCATGTCATCAACCTCGGCATCTGTGACCTGCTTCTTCATCCCCCTAATCCCTCCACCTTAGATTTCACCACCACTCATAACTGTCCCACCTCCAGGATCTTGGATTCTGATATGCATCTCTCTGATCGTCACTTTTTACCTTCTCATCTCTCTCTCTGCCCACTTCCCATGCAGATGATTCCCAGATCTCATATAACCTCTCCACTCATGCCTTCATGTCTCCACTGAACTCCAGTCCCTTGTACACAACTGCCTTCTGGGAAATTCCACTTGCCCATCCAGAGGGCATCTCAAACTCAATGTATCCAAAATGGAATGAATACCTCCCCCTTTAATCAATCCCCCCCAAAAAAGCTTCCCTTCTTCTGTTACCTTCTCAGTTATCTGGGGCGTGGCCCTCCAAGTCATCCCTGGCTCTGTCTCCTCCTCCCTCACATCCTCCCAGTTGCCAAGTCTTACTGATTTTTATCCCCAATCTCTTTTATATGTCTACTCTTTTCTTCTCAGATGTCACCACCCTGATTCAAGTTCTTATCACCTCTTACCTCTGTAAGTCAGCCTCCAAAGAGCTACCAGAATTGTCTTCCTAAGGCGCAGATGTGATCATGCTGCTCCCCTGCCCAGGAACCATTGAAATAAAACGCAAACTCTTTAGGAGAGCGTTCAAGGCTCTCTGTGACGATGCTGTCAAACTTCAGTAGAAATGGGGCCGCTAATCAGTTTATAAGGATCCCTCAGGGCCATACATTGATTTTCTTTCAAAATGCAATGTTATCTATGTTTTATTGCATTTTTATTTAGTTACTGAAATACTTCCCAGTTACATTTTGAATTGATTCAGGCTATGCTGCCAGTGTACTAGGCTAGGCTGTGGACCTAATCCTGCTCCCTTCCTCAAAGACCAGGTAAGATTAGGGAGGATTAGGCTCCTGTGACCAAAGATATTTAAGGGAAAGATAGATATAATTCTAGCCACATCTAGACAGCCCCAAGTAAACACACATAACCTACAAGGACAAAATAACACAGGACCCAGCACACCCACACACCCTCCCATCTATCATAGTGATTCCACAGCACTCTTAAAGGGTTATCTCTCATCTCTGTCATTGGCTCAAGCCCCCACCCATTGTGTTCCTCTAATTTTAGGGACCCAAGCCCCTGGTTCCATTTCACCACTTAAGAGTCAGATAAGCTTTTACAAAGAATAGTTGCTTCAAAGGGATAATGTATGTCCTTGTTATCCCTTTGAAGTACTGAAGAACTGGTCCTTAGTAGAAGCTAGAGAATCACTATCATGGATATGAGGGTATGTGTGTTCACTTGGGGCTCTCTAGATGTGGCTCAAGGGAGGCAAGGACAAGCACTCCCCCAGAGTCTCCTCCCCCCACCATTCTCTAAGAGGAACTTTAATTCCTTCTGGAAGGGGAAGCAAGAGCTTGGGGCTAGAGACTGACCACTCTTTTTTCCTCAGAGAAAGGAAGTATTAGGCTAGAATTATATCTGTCTTTTCCCTTAAATATTCTGTGTCTCAGGGAAATAATTTTTAGGTTCAAGCTGCATTCCTGATTATTATCCCTTAAAGGAGAATGAGTGCCCCAAGCTATATATCCAAGGTTTGACTCCCTTCCAACTAAAGGACAGTTCCACAATGAAGACATGTAGTGAACAGTAAAGAAATCCATTTATTCAAGCAAACAGAAATCAGAGCAAGTAAACACATGAGAATATGTATTAGACAATACATAATAACTCAGCTCCACCGAGAGAGCCTCAGATTTCACCCAAAGGGAAATTCCCTGAAGTCTCTAGGATAGTAAGTTGGGCATGGGGGCATACTTGACATATCTGTTCCTCCACATGTCAGCCTCTTCCCAGAGTCTTTTCTTCCATTTAGGAAATTGAAAAGAGTATAGAACCACACATCTCCTCTCTTGAAAGCTGGAAGCCAGAAGACCAGACTCTCTCCTCTCTCAAGTTTTCACCAGTTCTGCCCCTCACAAAGGAACGGAGCACTGAATAATCAATCTTCATCAATGAAGACAGTCTCAGGAAAATGGCAGTTGAGCCACAGGTTACATAGACAAATGTACATTGTCTGGTCATGGCTTAGCCAGTAGAGATGAATATTACTGGATAATCAACGGAAGCTAAATTGAGTTTCTCACCAAGTCTAGTTTCTCACTGAGACCCAGTCCCTAACCTGGTAGAGATGGTCCAGGAAAGAGCTCCAAATTCTGTGAAAGAGAGGCAGTACCTCTATGCACTGCTCCTTGCTGCCTGGCAGGTGGAAACCCCTCAAAGTGCAGCCAGGGAGCAGTACTAGAGAAGCATCTGCAAATTCCAGGCTAAGGGTCTCTTCTCTACCTGAAAGAGTCTTTCAGCAATAAAGAGTCTTGGCATAGTAGAGAAGAACTGTAGTCCAGTAGAGGAGCAACTGGATCCCACAGTAGTAGTATATTCTGGTCCAACAGTAGAGTATCTTAGCCCATCGATGGAGCACGAATAGGGCATATAGCTGGACTAATCCAGAACAGCCTAACTTATCATGAAAGCCCATTCATCCAACACAGATCCTGCTCTCATCAGTGAACTTTATGAAAGTATTGAGACCTAGAGTTCTAGAGTTGTAAGCTGTCCTGGCCACACATACTCCCTACTCACGTGCCTCACTCTCTTAGCACTTTAAATGTATGTTCACTTCCCTCCATTCTTTGTGCACTGGTAGGAGACAGTGGCCCAAGTTTATGGGTAGAATGTTATGTTATTGTTATGTTATTATTATTGTTCTTTGACTTTTGAGTTAATGTGTAAGGGTTGACTTATTAAGGGGAATCACACCGATGGGGGCTTACGAGCTATAATAGTAGAAGTGTAGATCTCTCCAAACCCCACAAGGTTATTCCTATGTTTCTCCAATAGAAGCAGGCAGGACTTTTAAGAACCAGCGCTATTATATTTACAAGTAGGCCAGACTCTTAAAGAATCTGAGCAATTTAATTCAGAGCAATATACAGAAAGACTGTGGGAAGATCTAGATGTGATCAAGGAGAAGACAATAGCTTGGAGTGACTGGAGGTAACAGAGAAGGGGTCTAGATGGAATTAAGGTGCTGGGGTGAGGCCAGGTGCAGACAGTGAGGGCCACAATGAAAGGGCAGTTAAAAGGATTATACTGGGATGGGCCCAGGAGCCTCAGGCAAACACCAGAGACATAGTTCAGGGGCTGCGGGGTCCTTTCAAGGGTCCAGTGTGAATCCCATCCCCCATCATCTAGAATCCTGAGAGTACTTGTAGCATTTGCCTCCACCTAGGGAATCCCAGTCTGTGAGTACATGTAGAAACTGGAGGGTTTAACATCCTCAGAGAAAGAAGCCCACAAAAAGAGTAAGAGAGGAGGTGGCCACATGCTACAAAGGGAAGGACAGTTACACCTTTCTGTCAACTGCCAGATTTTCCTTCCCATTGAGGGTCTGCCATCTTCTCCTCCTGAGGAGCTAGGGAGGCTCTGGTAGGTGCAACAAGCAGGAGGCCACTCAAGAGGACAGAAGAGTGATCATGCTGACACATAAGCATTCTGGACTAGTTGCTCTCCCCTTCTTCCTATTTGCCTTTGAGATTCAGATTGGATTTCCTTCTTCTCAGTAATGGGAATAAAAACTCTTTGTTGCTATAAAAGCCAGACTAGTTTGACTTTAGGCAGACTAGCTATTGACTTTGAGAAATTGCTATTGTCAGACCCTGCATCCACTGAAAGAGAGAGACTTCCCAGCAGTGGTTTGCTTTAGTCTAACCAGAGGCAAGTTGGCAGAGAGATACAATCCAGACCTGCTGCAGAGAAACAAAATGCTGGCCAAGACTGTGGGGAATGTTGCTACTGAGGCAAATTCCAGTGGGCCAGAGACTATCAATTCTCTTGTAACACAGAAGAGAAACGTGGAGCAGGGCATGGGGAGACAGACCTTTTTATTTGAATCACACTTACCTTTCGGTTTAAATGCCAAGATCTCAGACCAGCAACCCCTTCCCCTGGTCCTTCCTAGCCCTGGAAGACTGAAAGGACTCTGAGGGAGGAAATTTCAGTCTGGCAAAAACAATATGTGAAGTACTCCTCCCCTTGATGGTTTTTGGTGCAATTTTGCTATGCATCAAATGCCATGTGCCTCACTCTTAGGGATTTGGGGGTTGGTTTAAAAAGAACAGGAAACTTCCCAGATATGGTGTTGATTCACAGAGATTTCTGTATTTTAATAATCCTTAGCCACTGCACACCAAATTACTCCTAGATGAAGCTGGGTTTGTGAGGGTTTCCTTTTTGCTCCAGCCAGTTGAAACATATAGGGAAGATCTCCTGAAGTCGTTAATACAAAGCATTTTTGTCTCTCCTTTGATCAGGGACAAGAGGAATGATCTTGAGGGATATTCCTTCTGTAATACAACAGAGCCTTTGTTTTAAAGAGTTACATCTTTCCCATGATACATTGCTAGCAAGCAATGTCATTCATTCACTGGTAGAGGCATCTCAGTTTAAAAGACCCTCTAAATGTAAGCAGCAGGTGGTGCTAGGGAACTGGCCAGGCTGAGCTGTCAATCACCCCCTGAGCCTGCAGCCCTATTGAACAGGCCAGGACAAGTCACTCCCCTGCCTTGATGTAGGGACATTTCCCTACTAGATCATGGCCCTTCAGGGTGCTGCTCTTCCTTTCTATGCAACTCATTTCCCTCCTTCTCTTTGCAGGGCAAAACTTGCTTTTCAGAACTCTGCACAGGACATGGCTGATACCAAGATAACAGAAAGAAACAGGAGAAAATGTATGCTTTACTCTCTCTTACCCCCCCCACACCCCCACCTTCCTGTCTTCTTAACATCCCTACTGTTGTTTCCTTCGTTGTTTTAGAAGAGGAGCAATGACATCAGGAGGTAAAGGCTTGACTTACCCGTGAATTTGATTTAAGTATGAATTAATTAAATTAACATGAATTTAAGACTTAAGGCGCGAGGTCATCAGTTTCACTCTGTCTTCCAGAGTCACTGAAGTCCTGTGGCAAGACAAAAGTCAGATGGTCCAGGATGCAATGGATGACTGACCACCCTCTAAGAGCTCTGCAGCACCTGCTTCAGCTGCCTTCATGGTCACTGGAACAAGCTGTCCTCATCCACCCATTCTGCCAGAGGGAAGTCTTCACATGCTTCCTGTGACTTCCTTCTTTCTGTCTCTAGGGCACCACCATCCTTCCAGTAGCCGAGGCTCACAACCTAAGTGAGATCTTCTACTCCTCCTTCTCTCTCACCCCGCCATATTCAATCCATTGCCAAGTCTCATCCATTTCACCTCTGCTACATCTCTCAAATCTGCCTCCTTTCCCCCCGATACTGCTGCCATCACATCTCTTCATGCCTGGACTATTGCAATAACCTGCAGGTTGGTCTCTCTGCCTGAAGTCTGTCCACTCCAATGCAACCTCACTAACCTGCCAAATTAATCTTCTTAAGGGGCAAGTCTGACCGTCTCACCCCACCCTCCCATTCAATAAACTCCAGTAGCACTCTTTTGGCTTCTTATATGAATTTAAAAGCCTCTTTACTCTGGAGAGTAATATGGTTTCTTTCTCTCAGACCATGTTAATACCAGGATTTGTTGTTCATTTTTTTTTCATTAGTTATACCTCAGAACAAACTCAAATCTCTGCATATGTCAAACAGGCCAAAGAAGGAGGAATTACTTCTTGGAAATATCTTTGGACTTCTGGGTCAAGGAATTCCCCCAACAAGTGAAACCTAAATGATTTTATCACAAATTTGGGACAGACTTCATCCCCCTCCCCCAAACTAATTCCAAAGACCTCCTTAAATGTAACACATGACTTGACTTCTCATTAGGATTGCGATCTCCTCATCTGTGCAAGCCAACAGGAAAATACAGGCATTACTTGAGGTGTTTCTGTTTCATCACTTATCCTTACGGAATTGCAGCTGACTCACAGGGCTAGAGTCCAACATTACTTCCTATCCTGTGCCCAGGTACCCAGTTCCTAGACAGGATTCAAGCTCTAATTTGAGGCATTAGGCTTCCTATTCTCAGATTCACTGACTCACTAACAAGTCTCAACCTAGTATCCTCAAATCCAATGGATCCTCAAAGTTGGGGAGGAGGGAGAGAAGAGAGTAGAAAGATGCTCAACACACAAAATGACTCAAGGATGTGATGGACAATTAATTCTAACTCAGAAAGAAATGTTAAGCATGGAAGAATCAGAGTGTGCATTAACAGAACAATTAGAAGGGAATTCAGTACCAGCTTATAAGCGTGGTTACGATTGGTTGGGAGGCTAATATTCTAGTGTCATCACAACATATGGCAGTTTGGGGAAATGGCTAATCAGGCAATTTACATTTCACCTCAATTGCCAATCATAATCAAATAACCAAGCTTGATCTTGCTCACGATGCCACTCTCTCTAATGCTGAAGCTTCCCTTGCCAACAGTGCACTCGTGCTGCTGCCACAAGTGAAACTAACTACTCCAATGGGCCCTGCTGCCATATTCATGGACATTTCAAACTCACAAGACTGAGGCTGAGTTTGAGGCTCTCTTTTTCTGTGTTTATTCCCGATCTTAGGTGAATGCGTCTCCTGAGATGGGTGTGGCCAGGTTCAGAGGCGACCTTGTGAGTTCAACAAGTACAGAGGTCCTGGGGTCCCAAAGGGCTGAAGCCGAATGGTGATAATAACAGGAATTCCCAGCAGCCATCGCAATGTTCTTGGAGAAGAAGAGACTGGTCCGAGACTGTCCATTTGACCAGCAGACACATACCAGGAGTTGTTTGTCCTTGGTTCTCAGAGAGGACCGTGACATCAGGGAGGTGACGCCATAACGTGTTTTTAGATGAGGGATGGCTGTGCAAAGTCACCAGCCTCACTTTCTTCTCTGGAGCCATCTGGGTCCAGTGGCCAGATACACACCAGGACAACTGGAGATGGCCCCAGATGAAGTGGAAGACATTGGCCTTTTAAAACTAAGGTCTTTAGTAACTCCCAGTTTGACTGAAGCAATGCCCACTCAGTGATTAAGGCTAAGTAAAAATAAAATAAAATAAAATACAAAAATGAGGCAAAGACCAGGAGTTGTGTGGGCAGAGCAAAGCCTAAGTGAAATGTAAAATACCTTATTAGCAGTGCTGCAAACTGTTTCAAGTTCTCATGAAGCTTGACTATTAACCTCCCAGCAGGCTAACCCAAACTCAAGGGGATTCCATGTGCAGAGACAGGACAGCTGGGCACTGCAATGACAGCAGAGGAATTCTTTTTTTTTTTAACATTTAACTTTTTTTTTCAATCAACAAACTTTTTTTAATTTTCCTTTTTTACCAAAATTTTGAATTCCAAATTTTCTCCCTCCCTCCCCTCCTTTCTCCCTAAGACAGTAAGTAGTTCGATGTAGGTTATATATGTGCAATCATGTAAAAACATATTTCTATATTAGTCATGTTGTGAAAGAAGAAACAGAACAAAAGGAAAAAACTATGAAAAAATAAAGAAAGTAAAAATAGTATGCTTCTATCCAGTGGAGGAATTTTTTAGCTATGGGAGGAGGACGAGGAAGACAGAGAGAGAAGGGAGAGAAAAGGAGAGGCAGAGAGAAGGAAATAGAGACACAGACAGAGAGCATTAGCCTAGATGGGAGAGTGCCTGCCTCCCAATGCCTCAAAGATAGTACATGTGTATACTTGTTCTGTGATAAGCCCATCTGGCCAGCAGCGGGGTTTTCCAGTCCTCTGGAGGTACTATGCCTGGTTTACTGTACATCTGTACGTCTGTATATGCAGATATGGATGTATGGCATACATAGATAAGTGAGAGCCAGAATTACCTAGTGTGTAGAGAACTGACATCAAAACCAGGAAGAGCTGGACTCCAGTCCTGCCTTTGACACAGTGTTCTCGGGTCCTAGGCAAGTAATAAACCTCTCCTAATTCCAGATAGCTCTCTTAGTCAGAGGTTCTTAAACTTGTTTCCATCCTGTACCCCTTGGGCTGATTAATCAGTCTGGTGAAACTCCTGGACCTCTTCTCAGAATTACGTTTTTAAATGCATAAAATAAAATGCAGAGGATTACCAAGAAAACCAATTCTATGCAAATACATTTATCAAAATATTAAAGAAAAAAAAACCAAGTTTATGGACCCCAGGTTAAGAACCCCTTCAACACTCTAAATTGTAGAAAAGGTGATGACCTAGATTAATGGAGAGAACTTCCTCTTCTGGGAGTTCTTCATGCCAAGGAAATCACAGATCCAGTAGAGGTAGATATAATGCCTATACTGAGAGAGAGGTGGGGGGTGGGGGGCCAAGGGAGAGAAAGAAACAGAGAGACAGGGAGGGAGAGACAGACAGACAGACAGACAGATGGGGAGGGAGAGGGAGAGAAGGAGAGAGACAGAGACAGAGAGTGAATATAGACACACGTATGTGTGTTCATACTCGTATCTGAGCAGAGCACATACATTCTCCAAGAGCCAGACTGCTACATACGCCCCTTGGGCTTCTAGCGGTGCTCTGGAAGTCTTTATAGGGTGTGTCTCCTCTGCTGCCAGCGGTTCAAGTCCCCCCTGGCTGTGACAGGGTACAGGCCCTGGGAAACCCCTTCCTAAACTCTCCTTGAATTTTCCCACAAGGTCAAGTCTCTGGCATCTGCCTGAGGCACTGACCCATTCCAGCAATCCTTCAACTGCCCTTTCATTGTGGTCTATGCCCAATCTTCCAATTCGCTGTTACCTCTAACCCAGCCCAACCTTCACAGTCTGTTACCTTCCAATGGCATGGGCCATTCCCACTCTTAATCCTAATCTAGACTCCATTTTCCCTTTGCCATGTCATCCAGGTACTTGGCATTCTCTGTTACCTCACAATCACCCCAGACTACCTGGCCACTCCTAGATCCCTCCCACAGTTTTTCTTGGCCACCATTAAGGTGCTCAGATTCAATCTGAGCATTAGAGATACAAATGCTTAGATTCCTTAAGAGTCAGGCCAATACGGCGGATTCTTAAAATCTCACCCACGCTCGATCAGTGTTCTCATAAACCTTGTCTTTGTCTGAAAGAAGGCTTGTGCTGAATTCATTTGGGCATTATTTCTAGGTCCCAGTACTCCTAAACCTCAATCGCTGTATTCCCACTTCTGTTAGGAGCCAGTGATGAACACTCTAGTTCTATTTAACCACTTAATATAAATTAGTTTTACAAAGGTGAAGGGTCAATGTATAAGATCTTCCCTACCCAAAGCCCAAGCCAAGGGACAAGGAATGTCCCTGATGGATTGTTCTGGGATTTGTTTCAACCTAGACCCACCTTGGGGAACTACTCCTTAAAAAACAAGTTTTGAGGTAAACATCCAGGGTCTTGGCCAGTTCCTGGGTATTGGCCCAAGACATTTTTGACATAACAAAGATTGCTCTTGAGGTTGCAGAGTTTTGGCCAAAACTCTCAGGTCCTTAGGATTAATCACCTCTTCCCTGGCTCCCTGCCTTCTTTGTGTAAGGATGACAAAAAGGTTCTTTCTTGGGAAAATGAATTTGGGAGTCTCTCTCGGAGAGGACGCTCTGCCGTAGCAACCTTCCCAACCGAGCCCCTGCCGGCTGAGATACAGGCCTCCCCCTGCCAGATGTTCACGAGCTGGTGCTTCCTCGTACTGGTGATGTATTTCTTCTTCTTCCTTATCTCTCTATCTTTCTGTTAGTAGTCTTTGCTTCTAAGATTGTATAATCGTATGTAATCACATTTACATGCATGTATGTTTATGATTATTATCATTATTAAATCATCTATAAGTTAGGAAAAGTGTGAACGTGTCTTTGTGGGTACCGATCCGAACCCATGAAACAAATTATAAGTGCTGCGCAGCCCGTAACACCTAACTGTTACAAAAGGGATAGCTACTTCGAATAGATAGATATAGCAAGAATAGAATACATACATTTTCCCTCTGAGACTTCGGGAATATATTGTTCTCCACATGACTACCATCTCTGAGGGGAACGGTCTCCATATTTAGCCCAGTTCCTACATTGCATTGGTCCCACCACACTGACATACAAAGGTGGAATCGTTTCCATATGAATCCTTGTCTCCACTACCACTAAGCTGGAGACCTGACAATTACTCCCAAAGTTTACTCTTGCTCCTCAGGTCATCAACGCTGGACTCCTTCTGGAACCTAGCTTCTAAAACAAGGAACATTAGAGCATTTTTCAAATCCACAAGGTCCGGGGCTCCCATCTCCTATGTCTAAAAGGAATAAAGGTAGAGGCCAAAGACTCAGGGCCTTTCACAGAACTATATGGCCTTAGAAGAGAGAGCTCTCCAAGGCCACTCCTATATTGTCTCCCACTGGATGCCATGAGTGAAGGAGTCACCAAGATCCCTCAGAAGCAAGTGAAACAAAGAGGACACAGCCAATGCTGAGAGCCTTTTCTGAATGCCTCCACAGCCACAGAGCCTCCTCTTTATCAAATCGTCAGCCATCCAGAACCAGCTGCAGAATGTCTACTTATTCTCCAACACCTCTCCAAGGTACTTGTATTCCTCATCATCATGACTCTCCCTGGAGTAGGCAGCCTATTCTCCTCTACACAGAAAGACACCATCAGAAGCAATTAGGGCATACGCCAGACCTCCACTGTTCTATCCCCATAGTCTGAAAACACTGCCATCCTTGAACGTAGTCGTGCCACACCCAGACGTGAACTGAGCTAAATTGGGAGACCACTCCCCCAGAGCCTTTGGTGGTGTGGGGGAAAGCATGCCCTTGAGGCACGGAGGACAATATTTGCTCCTTGTTCTTGACTGTTCAAAGTAAATAGCACCGTGTAAAAGCTGGAGGCGGAGCCAAGACTGCAGAGCAGTACGAAGCAATGCAATGAGACCCCCTCCACAAACCTCTCCAAACAGATCTAGAAGATGCACCAAGCTGAATCCTGGTGGGGAAATCCAGGAACAGTCACGGTGGATCATTTGCCCAGCCCAGATCAGTAGAGGGAGACAGACACGGAGGTCCGTGGACACCGGGATTAGCATCTCGCCAAGAAGACGCCACGTAAGGCACGCCAGCACCCAGGGAGATGCTGCGCACCACGTCAAGAGGCGGCCCCAGAGCCGCTCTAGGAAACCACCCAACTCACGTGGGGTCACTGCAACAAGGACAGGTAAGAACTGGTAGCTTTGCTGCCCTCACCCAGCCCCAGGTCACAGATCCAGGGTGGACTCGGGAGTGGCAGCCTGCGTCTAGGAAGCCAGAATAGTGTGTGGCTCAGATGCCAGAGACAGATCAGGGTCTCACTTCCAGCATCAGCCTGGCCTGTAGAAGAACAACCAAGACAGTAATCTCAGAGCAAAGGGAAGCCCACAATTCTGCCACTTTAACCAACCGAGCCTCCCAGCTGGCCGATACAGGCAGAGTCCAGCAGCATCTCCTCTTGCTCAGACCAGGGAGGCAGCAATCAGACTTTGCCCTGGATCAGATCACTTTAGGAGCACTGAAAACTCACAGGTTTACAACCTGCTTCTGTGAACCTGAAATAACACAACACTCGATACCCCAAGAAAACAGCGAAAGGATGAGTACAGACCTTCCCTCCAGACATGTTGTAGAGGTCAGCCCTAACATTAAGTCTGATGTCAAGATGTACACTGGAAGAATGAACAAAGAAAAATGAATCCCACTGTAAAGAGTGATGATAATGCCAGGGAAGCTCAAGACACAAACAAACCCATAAGAGGAAAACGACTGACTCCAAAATATCTATAAGCAAAGCCTCAGAGAAAAACATAGCTTGGGCAAAATTCCACTAGACTTCCTGGACGAGGAAAAGACAAAGCAAGAGTTTTTTTAAAAGCTTAAATATTTTTAATAAATGAAATGAGAGCATGTGATGGAAAAAATGGAAAAGAAAAGCCATGGAAGAAATAATTGGAAAGGATCTTAATAGTCTGCCACCAGAGACACCAAATCTTGCCTAAGCAACAAACTCGGGAAATTAGGATGGACAAAATAGAATGACTCCATGAGACCATAAGAAATATTAAAACAAAGCCAAAAGGCTGAAAGTATACAAGAAAACAGAAGGCATCTCATAGCAAAACAGCTGATCTGGAAAATAGATCAAGGAGAAAAAAGTTTAAGTATCATTGGATTATCTGGGTGCCCTGTCCTAAATAGAGCCTAGACATCCTGTTTCAAGAAATCTTAAGAGAAAACTGCCCAGATGTCTTCGAAGCAGCGGGCAAAGTGAAATAGAAAGAATCTGCCACACCTACTGAAAGATACCCCAAGGGGATTCAAACAAATTTTTTTTTAATTTAAACAAAAAGTTCATTGATATTAAGTAGTTGAATGGAACTGGAGTGTTAGTCATTGGCCTCTAACAGTGGAGAAAACCTAGCGGGGGGGGGTGTCAAGCTAGTAGAAGTAAACAATAAGCACCCCATTAACTTCTCAGAGTACCCTAGAATGATGAGGAGTACCAGCCAATCTGGTTTTAGAAGAGGAAGCCAAGTATATTCATTATATACATACATCTATATGCATACATATGTATTTACACACATGCATATATAGCAAGGACCATTCACACTCACCCCCAGAAAGCAAGCTCAAAGCTTCCCTGGCTGGTTCCCACCTCCTGAGTGGGAGTTTTGGGGCTGGCTTCCAACCATGTGTGACTCATGGCTAAAGGCTTTGAACTCTGAGATGACAGAGTCCCTTAATTGGCTACCAAAGTGGAAGAACTGATGCCTTGTTGGATGCTCAAAAAGGAAGCGGTCGACCCCCTCCACCTTCTCCCTTTGCTGCTATGAGTATGATGAGACTGCTTCAAACCTCCTTCTCCAAGAGTCGGGTTGGGGGTGGGGAGGCGGAGGAGCAGCACAAGGGCCCAAACTCAGGTTTGCCCAAACCGGACATGGGCTCTAACTGTTCTGTGCTCATAGCCACCGGACGGCTGGGTGGGTGAGGGCGAACCTCCGGAGAAGAGCTGGAAATAGTTCAGTCACAATCTTGGCCAGAAATGAAAAAGGGTGAGGGAGCAGAGGGGATGGAGGAAATGTTAACAAGATGCTCATGAGGCAGTTAGCCAAAAGCCTCATGATTCTAAAAGAGAGTATGCCTCAACTCTGCTTTCAGAGCCTGTGGAGTAGGAAGAGACTCGGAGTAAAGTGTCTCAGGTTCTAACCCAATCTGTGACATGTGTAAGGGGTGTGAGTGTGCCCACATAAGATATGAACCTCCACACAGAATGTAGAAACCTGTAGAGAAGCAGCCCAAGGGGAGGAATTGATAGATATCGCTGGAATCTTGCCCACCCCCCTCCAAGGAAGACTGCAATGCCTACCTTGAAGGGAATAGAAGAAAGGGCCGTAAGACCTCTTTGATTTCTTCTCAGACAGGGATACTGGACTAGAATTATATCTACCTCCCCCCCAAAAAAATTTGCTGGTCAAGTGGCATAATTTTTAGATTCAAAATAACAATGAGCTTCCCTGGTTGCTATGCCTTAAAGAGGGAAGTATGGCCCTTAGCTTACTCCTGCTGTGAGCTCCTTGAAAGCAGGGACCTTTTTTTCCCCTTTCTTTTGTAGGAAATGCTTAATAAATTCTAGTTGACTGACTGACTAATTCCTTCCTATCTAGTGCAGTTA